GTCTTCGTTTCATGACTTATTCAGCATATTTCTCTTTAAAAATCTTTATTCTTAAGCACTGGTAAGGTGCATTTTGGAAGACTTTGTTGTGGCAATCTAGATCCATAATTCCCTTTCATTTTAATAGGATTTGAAGGATGGAAACCTCATGTATACCTATATAAAATCATATCATGTTCTGAAGTGTTTGTGACATTGGTGACCACTAGAGTCACAGTAATGAACTGGTAGGACAAGTGCTTTGCCATGGTATGGTAGATGCCAGTATCGAAGGCAGAGGTCAGCAACCTACAGCCTGTGGGACTATTGGATCCAGTCCATGAAATGGGGGCTTTGGCATTGGCTATGGAGGGCTTTGCCCACACTATGCCAAAACTTTACCAGGTGCTTCACCCATAATTCACCATAGCTAGGTAGTGATGAGAAGTGGCTCTAGCTAGGTCCTAGCACCAAACCACCTTGGACTGAAGCTGAGTTATTCTGGCCTGCTTCCAAAAATGTTGCCAACCCCTGATGTAGGGCATTGTGGAAAATAAATAATTTCAAAGAGCAAATATAAATGGGAAATGATTTTACTAAGAAGCCATCTTAGAAGAATTAGGAGGTGAATGTCTTGTATACAATTGTTTTGAAAACTCTCGTAGTTTGGCTTTTTCTTAGCCATGAGATTTTGTTTCAAAATTGGTCCCATTCCAGTCTGGTTACCTCACCTTTCAGAGGCCCACTTCTTTGTGAACTGGATTTACCTTCTGATCATTTTTAGCACACCAGTAGGCTGACCTGTCAATGATTCTTTTGTTATCTAGGGAGAGGCAGAGTTTGCCCGTATCATGAGCATCGTAGATCCTAACCGCTTGGGAGTAGTGACATTCCAGGCCTTCATTGACTTCATGTCCCGGGAAACAGCAGATACAGATACTGCGGACCAGGTCATGGCTTCCTTCAAGATCCTGGCGGGAGATAAGGTGAGCTTACACCTCTGAAGTGGAACACATGGCAAGTATTAGATAAAAAAAAGAAACAAAGAAAGAAAAGAAAACTGATTTAGGATTGGCTGAACCAATTGGAAGGAAAATTTCTCTGCACTCTCTCAGAAGTGAACAGTAAATCATCCAGCACTCTTGTAAATCTACTTGATGAACCACTCAGAGGCCAAGCAAAAGCTTTTATGTTCATCTTGTTTCTAGTAGCTCAGCAAAAGCAGTCAAGGGTCACCTTAAGTTACACTGAACTTGACTGAAGTCAATGGAAACTAAGTATATGTTTCAAGTGTTTTAATTTTCAACATACAAAGTTTAAAACTAAAAGAAGAAACAAAATTTATCTTATTTACTTAAATTTAAGACAATCCTGAATTTAAGATTATCCCCCAGTAATTAGAGTCTATATGTGGAAAATGTAGAACTTCATTATACTTCTCCAGGTATAGAATCTAATTATTGGAGCATTGTCTTAAATTCATCATCCCACCCTCACTACTACAACAGGGAAAGCAGTGTCTGGGTGGTCAGATAGCCCTCTTGCTCTTTGCCCCCCCCTTTCCCCGCCACCTGTGCCTACCCACCCTCAACTCCCCATAATCACTGTCCCTTCCCATTATCTCTGCTCCTCCCTCCCCACCCACTCCCCACCATCTCTGCCCCTTTTCCCTCCACTGCCCACAGTCTCTGCCTCTTCCTTGCTGAGCCACACAGCAGCGCTGCAGATTAGCCAGGCAGGGGACAGAGTTCCATGTGCTCTGTGCCCAGGAGGGAATCCAGCCTGAGCTGGAGCTGAGCTGTGCCTGCTAGTAAGTAGGGGAGAAGAGAACGGAGGGTGGGCAGAAACTGCAGAGGGCGAGGTGGGAGGGCAGAACAGTGCTATGGGTCTGACTCTGGCCCTGACCCAGGCTCAGGGACAGTCAGAGCCACAACAGCTGCCTGCCCCCCCCCCCACTCCACTTTGTTCATATATCTAAGATGAGTTCCCCTAGCCCCATCCTGATTTGCAAAAAGCCCTCATCTTAGATTCAAGTAAGTATGGTATTTCAACATAGAAGTGTCTAAAGCCAAATATATCTGCTACTATGTAATAAAAACACATTTCTTACCATAGTTTGAAGTCATCAATGGAGAATTAACCATCATCATAATCACTGTTACCCACTAGTATTTTCCATCATTGAAACTGAGCAGATGTATTACCTTAAAAAAAACCAAAAAAACCCCCAAAAACCCTTTTGGAGCCTCAGTACTTTAAAACAAGTAATCAAAAGCTGGATTTTAACTGGTCATTTTAAAATGCATCACCAAGTTCAGCAGACAGTCTTGATCAACTGTAGTTTGAATAATATTGAAAAGTTGGTAATTATTAGACATCAGTACATTTTAGATGGTCTTTCCCACATGTGATAATTCACAATGACATGTAAGCATGTGTATTACATTATCAGTATCGAATCTTCTTTGAGAGTACCCTGTGTCTGTGAGTTGATGAATGATTTAAAACAGCATGATTAAGAAGAGGTAGCAGTTACAAATACTATGTAATAAATAGGAAAATTCCCCACACCTGGCTAAATTATTAATTCTCTCAGTTTGCATAATCAATTAAATTGGATTATACTAACAAATTATATATTCTTTCTCTTGCATGAGATCACTGGCATGATCTCATGATATTTAACTGAAATAAATTCGCCAGATATATTAATCTTAATATGTTTTGCTGTTTGCTGATATTAATATTAATCTCTCCTGAAATATGGGATTACACAGTGAAAATATTGAAATACTGTGTCTCAAATTCTAACACGTTGTGACAATCACTAGTCTTCCATGTTTCTCTAACATTTTTATCATAACCTTTATGTATAAACCTCACACTTATCATCCATCTTTGATTATGCATTGCTTGATTAAAGCATCCTTTTCTATTTCTCAGCAACCATGTGACAAATTGCTATTTGCAACAAAATATAAATTAAAACACAAATACTTTTAACTGAGTTTTACTGTAGAGTAATTGAATTTTAATGTGGTTACTTTGTACATCTAACAAAGTGTAATGAGCCATATTCATACATTTCAACTGTTATAGTAAATTAAATAGTGTTTGATTACTGTTGCACTAAGAAGAAAGCAACCTTCCCTTAGACCCAAATCATGAAATGAAAAGCCTCCATGAAGGAATCAGAAAGTCAGAAACACAGAGAATCTCTAAAAACCTAAATATTTTCCAGAAATTTCCAAATGCTTATGAGCCAGTTACCTAAGCAGAATTTAATGGTGAGCTACTGCTCAAGAAAGCAGCATTGAATATCCACTGCCTAAAATGGTAGTGAACCAGTTTCTCAAAGACAAACCTAACTGGATTGTCTGCCTCCTTTTGAAAAATATGAGGAATAGAAAATAGTACCATGGAGAAACTAGGAGTTTTTCAGTGGATTATATTGCCCTTGGTTCATGCTGATTCCTTTTACCCTAGTACTAGCTGGAACCAATTTGTTACCTTGTTTTTACACAGAAGAAATGGCATCTACAAGTCCTTAAGGCCCAATTTTGAAGCCTAAAATCAGTATAGACAGCCTGAAAGGGAGCTCATATGCTAAAGCTTGCTAATGAGGGACCAGCTCAAGAAACAAGATTCAGCTTTCAGCGCTTCACCCTAAGCAACAACCTCATCAATGGCAAAGATTGCCAGTAGTTTTTCACTGACAAAACACCCTACCTCTGACCAGGCCTTTCCTCCAGTTCTCCTAGGGCTGCTCCCCACAGCATTATCCATCCATCCCAATTTCGCCCCAGTGGGATAAGTACCTTTTGCATCCCTAAATGTCTAATGTACTCTCAGTGATAATAGTATATTTCATGTCTCTTGTTCTTTTTGCAGAACTACATCACTGTGGATGAATTACGACGGGAACTGCCTCCTGATCAGGCTGAATACTGCATTGCTAGAATGGCACCGTACCATGGGCCTAATGCTGTACCCGGTGCCCTGGACTACATGTCCTTCTCCACAGCACTGTATGGCGAAAGTGACCTTTAACCTCCCTCCTCCCCCACCACACCA